TCCAAACCCTATTTTTTGTTTAAGATTCATTTTAAAAAGTACTAAAATCAAAATTATTGCTCTAACTACACTAAAGAAAAAGAAAATTAGTACTAGTCCACAAATTATCACAATATGGATCAATGGATCTCTGGTGTAATTGTGCCAAAGCTTATATTCCTTATTTGCCTCTTTAAACCTTTTATTTTGAATGAAACATTTAGGAAAATTTTATTTAGATTCAGTTATCTTAACTTTACACTTAACTAAAAAGTCTGACCACTAAGCTTCCAAGTTTATCCTTAAATAAATAAATAAGAAAGTAAAAATTAATTTTTCTATCTCTACACCCAATGACCCAAAAGCTATCAATCCACTGCACCTCTCCATTATTTTCGGCCAAACAAACCCACGTGCCGGCAAACCATTCCCTCAAGGCTGCCAGAGACCGTTATCTCCTTTCATTCTTTTAAAGTTTTGGAATATATCAACATAATGAAAAAATATAAATCTCAATATTTTTAAAACCCTATTCAAATCAGAATCTCCTCTTCTATTCAAATCAGAATCTCCTCTTCTTAGTAACCAAAGGCTCGAAGGTAACCGTATGACTAATTTAGAGTTTGTTTTAATGTGCTTTCAAAATGACTGAAAGCTTTTTTGGTGAAAATATTTTTGAAACAAATCTTTAGTAAAAATGTAAGTAAATTATGGAAAAACACTTAAAGTGCTCTCTAGAATAAGCACATAACTAGTGCTTCTTTTAGAAAATACTTTTAAGTCCTTTTGGAACCAAAAAATATTTTATCTGAAAGCGCTTTCAATCATTTTAAAAATACATCCAAACGAGCCCTTAATTTCCTCATAATTGTTAGTTTGTGATATTCATCCAAAATTATATGATCAAAGTTCTAAATGATTGGATTTAGAATGTATTACTAATGGAAGTAGACAAAATGGATTTGCTCTCCCAAAGTATAGACTTGATAATTTACCCGTAAAAATTCCAATAAACAATTTTCCATTGTAAATTTTGGAGGAGACACTATCACGCACAGTCGTTGATCACCGCGAGAAAATATTTGTAGTGGGTTTCGCCGGAAATAATATGAGTGCAGTGGTGTGTTAGGTTTTTTGTTGTTGGGTGTAGAGATAAAAACATCAATTGTTTTTTTTTTCTTATTTATTTAAAGGCAAACTTGAAAGTTTAGTGGAGAAAATTTTTAGTTGGGTATAGCGATAAGATAATTAGGTTCAAATAAAAAATTTCAACTTTTAACTGTGTTACCGGAAAGACTGTTGCTCCACCTTTTAACAAGTTTATAAATCAGCACTCATAGTTTATTAGTTCATAAATTAAAGCTCCAATTGAATCAAAGTCCAAGAAACAATGCTCCAATTTTCTTCTTAAGAGACTTCCGTTTACAAAAATAAATTCTTTCAAAAAGGGTTTTCAGCCGATGAAATATAATAATATATTAACGGGTTATTGCCTTAAGTTTCAATTTGGTCCCTAGCTCAAGTTTCGTAGCCATCATTTGTATCTCCATACTTTGAGATGTGTCTAGGAAGGGCATTTTGACAAGGTAAAGAATTGTAGCCTAGTTCTTTTTAATATTTATAAATATAGTTACTCGAGTTCCAAATCCAATCCAGAAGTTCTCGACTCTTTGGAGCAGTGCTCAAACCACTTCTCAGTACGCTCGAGTCTTCCTTCATTGGTTAAATTCGAATACTTCTCTAACCTTTCCGTTAAAAGTAGTTTAGTTGTGTGCATGAAGCACTAAATCCAAGTGCATTTCAGTCTCTCAAATCAAAAAGTGGAAGCTCTCTCTAGCTCTTCCCTCCAATTTCATGGCTTACAATCATTTTCTCTTTTTCTTTTTCTTTTTTATTATTTAAGGAAACTTCGACAGTACGAGAAAAAATTTATTAAAAATTATAGAAAACTTCATTCTAATTTTTGGCAAAGATGACTTTTAGACTAAAACCATGAGTAAGATCAAAATATAATTTTAGTCCATTGATACATTAATAACCTCATTTATTATAAATTATGTTTTGATTTTTTAATTATTTCTCTTTTTCTTCCTAATTTTAATGTATTAATTTTATTTCATTATAATTATAATTTTCATTTCATTTATCGTAATATATATTCTTGTAAACATTTAGATAAACTAATATTTGTTATACAATATATTTCGATGTACTTTGTCTTCTTCATTTAGGTATATTAAATTCAATATAATACATTTCGGTGCATGGATTTAGGTACACACATTTCGGTACATACATTTCAATACAAACATTTTAACATCCCACATCGTCCAGGGGAGTGATTCTTAAATGTATATTCTCATCCCTACCTATCACGAGGCCTTTTGGGAGCTCACTGACTTCGGGTTTTGTAAGAACTCCGAAGTTAAGCGAGAAGGAGGCCAGAGCACTCCCAGGATGGGTGACCCACTGGGAAGTTGCTCGTGAGTTCCCAAAAACAAAACCGTGAGGGAATGGTAAGCCTAAAGCGAACAATATCGTGCTACAGTGGTGGAATGGGCCCGGGAAGTGGTGGACCGGGACGGGATGTGACAAACATTTAGGTACATTAATTCAATATAATACATTTTGGTACACACATTTAAGTACATTAATTTAATATAATACATTTCAGTGCATATATTTCAGTACATACATTTCGGTACTAACATTTAAATACATTAGTTCAACATAATACATGTTGGTACTAATATTTAGGTACATTAATTGAGTCTTTCAAGTTTGAAGAATGTTAAATAAAATAAAATAAAAAACTTTTTTTTGGTCAAAAAATAAATTAAAATTTGTATATTAATAAATTAAAATATTTAATGGGAGACATTAAATAACATAGAGACATTAAACAACATGCACATTAATTATTTTGAATTAAGGACACATCAAAGGACTATAATCAATATGTAATCTAACACCGGGTTTATTTTAAATTTCAATCTTCTTGAAGGATTAAAGTTAAAAAATAAAAAATAAAAAAAATTAGAAAAAAACCCTAAAAACTATCATTTTTCTAAAATGAAATGTTGGTTGAAATTTAGGGACCATTCATATCATTTGCTCTAATTATATTCTTAAAGATAGTAGTAAAGTGTTTTCTTAATATAACTAACTAATTTTCTCAACCTTTCTTCTAAACAAAAATGCTTTTTAATAATTTCCAATCACTCAATCTATTTTGTAACACATTTTTGAATGATCAACATTGTCACGATGTGAGTGAGTAAACGTGTAAACATAGAATTTCTCCTCATTGCAAATGTTGTGAAACCTAATATCCCATTCTTCTTGTTCAGCTTCTGCAACCGTAATGGCAATTCACCAAAAAAATACGGCTTGACCAATTTATGCAATACAAGAAATTTCTATTTTTCAATCACACTTTGCCTTATAATTTCTAATTTTCCTTGAATAAAAGGGCTAAAATCCATTTGGATTATCCCCACTGCAAGCAAAATTCACAGCGAAATAGCTTTCTTGCATTCAACTTGTCAAAGTTTGGCAAAAAAACATTAAGAAATTAAAGCTTGCTGCAATGTACAATTAGGTATCTTGATACGGTCAAACTATATAATTTCAAATGCACATACAGATTTATTTAGTTATTTTTCAACTAATATATCGCTTTAGTACTCAATCTTTATGCCTCTCATACAAATGCTTCAATTCTCTGTAACCCTAACGCGGCAGCTCTTCGTTCACTTTTCTATGATGGTGGTGTGAATTTAGGTTTAGGTTTAGCTTGTTTTGCTGAAAGCAAAAAGCTGAAAAAAGAGGATCTTCTCTCTTATGATCTTCTCTCTACTCATTTCCTTTATCATCAAGTAGCTTGATGAGTCTTACCTCTACGTTGTCTTCATTTTCTTTTGGTCAAGATGCATGTTATTTTTCATTCAATATATAATACTAGAAGCATAAACATATTACACTAACTCTTATTACTAACCGGCGCGAAAATTTCTTACTTTCTATGATTAAATAAATTTCATAACCTAGCAAAACAAATATCAAATAAAAAATAAAATACTGACACATCAATTTGCATCTCTCAAGTAATGTATCTAATATTACTTTGTAGTTCATTTCCTTTCGTAATCAATGTAGCGATCTTACCCCTGCATGATACATGTTCTTTTTCATTCAATAGTACAACGATACAAACTTATTACACCAACATTTGGTACCAAATGATGTGCAAATTTCTAATTGTTTTCCTTGTAGTGAATAATTAACTTTTATAACAAACTGAGACCGAAAGCAATTTTTTCTCGGGAATTGACATTTTGTCAAATTTCATCCCATTAGTTTCGATGTTCTCTGCTACAGAGACTATGCATCTATTTCAACAATAGTTTGTAAACCATATGAAGTATTTGCTTTTTTTTTTTTTTACCAACATATGAAGTATTTGTTAATAATTGAATTATTACTTAAGTGTTGATTAATGTAAGCAATTTTTTCTTGGGAATTGAGATTTTGTCAAATTTCATCCCATTAGTTTCGATGTTCTTTGCTACAGAGACTATGCATCTATTTCAACAATAGTTTGCAAACCATATGAAGTATTTGCTTTTTTTTTTTTTTGACCCACATATGAAGTATTTGTTAATAATTGAATTATTACTTAAATGTTGATTAACGTGCTTAATTATTTTCTATTGTGACACATCATATATTTACAAATTTGGTCTAAAAAATTGATCTACCTAACAATAGTTCTTCTATAATGTTTGTTAGAAAATGATTATAGACTTCGATTGGCTTCTGGGGTCTCAGTGGGCAGTAAATATGTGAGAGAGAGAGAGAGAGAGAGAGAGAGAGAGAGAGAGAGAATTTTTTGTCACATAGCAGTGCCGAAAACGCAGGGGAAGCCCTTATCTGCGGCAGCAAACCCGGCTTTCAATGAATGTCTTAAGGGTGGAAATGTAAGAGTTGTAGTGAAGGGAACGCGTCTAAAAAACTCTCTTGTTGTACTTTAATCCTAACAGTCCGTTTTTTAATTATATGCGTTTTGCCCCATGTGACCTCTGCTGCATTTTCCATGGGGGTGCTTCCCCTTCACTTTTTCTTGTACTTTTCCTACTACATATACATAAGTATATAGATATATATAAACACATGACCCTTCAAAGCTTGTCAACACAATTAGGACCAGCTTATTTCAAAGCCTTTTTGGCCTCTCAAAAGCTTCTCTCCTCAAGGTGGTTGGTGGTGGTGAAGTCCAAGTGTTTGATGAAATTTCTGAAATAATAATCTCAACTTCCACTTATTTAATAGCTAGCACTCTAACAAGTTCATATTTATTGTCTTTGCTCATTTGGGTTCTTGTTTTTGGTGAGTTTCAAGCTTTAATTGCTTTACAAGTTTTGTTTTCTCAGCTCATGATCCAAGGCCAATGACCGATTTATGAATGTGTTTGATGATAATTTATCTTTTTCAGGTGTGATTGATCTAGATTGAATTCAAATGAGGGGGATGGCTCAAAATTCGAATACGAGAAGTGCAGATTACTTGGAAGGAATGCTAAATGATTATGTGGGAGGGAAGGTCAAGTTGAAGGCTCATAAGAGTACTTCTGCTAGGCTTGTAACTGCTCTCACTTGTCTCCAATTTGCGTTTGCAGTTTATGCAACATTCCTCCTTTACTACATGAGCCCTTCGATCGACTTACGAACCAAACCAGACTTTGCATGGGCTACCAAGATTGCACAGCAATGGAAACACTATATAATCCAACCCCACATTCTCAACCACTATCAAGAATCCGCTTCTCTTGTTGGAACCGAAAGCCTTCCAATCACGCCCTCATTAGTTTGTGAGCACGAAAAGATTGATTTCATGCAGAAGAAGTCCAATGATGCTCAGATGATCAAGCTCAAGACAGAGCTTTACAATGAGGTTTTGGACTTCCAGAGCAAATCCATCGGCACAGAAACTCTTTCTCAGCTGATTGCAATGAAATCAAAGTGGGATTTGAAAGGCCCCAACAAGCCAAAAGTCACAGTGATCCTAAACCACTTCAAGAGAAAAACACTTTGTGCTCAGCTGGACACTTTGCTTCAACAAACCCTTCCTTTCCACCATGTTTGGGTTCTTTCATTTGGGAGCCCAAATGAGCTCTCTTTAAAGAGAATTGTCGATAGCTACAACGATTCGAGGATAAGCTTCATAAGTTCAAGCTATGACTTCAAGTACTATGGAAGGTTCCAAATGGCTTTACAAACCGAAGCTGATCTTGTGTACATTCTTGACGATGACATGATTCCTGGGAAGAAAATGCTGCAGATTTTGTCACATGTGGCGGGGACGGAGAAGTACAAGAACGCGGTTTTGGGCAGCATAGGGAGGATTTTGCCGTTCAGGCAGAAGGATTTTACCTTTCCAAGCTACAGAAAGTTCAGGTCTAAGGAGGCAGGGCTTTATTTGCCTGACCCTGCGTATGATATCACACTCGATAAAATTGTGCAGGTGGACTTCCTTTCCAGCTCTTGGTTCTTGTCTGCAGAGCTAATCAAGACACTTTTCACTGAAACACCCTTCACCTTTTCGACCGGCGAAGATCTGCACCTCAGGTACATGTTTATTGCTTTTCATCGGGTTTTTTTAGACACAATAATATTAACTGCTCTAATATACGGTAGGGGGATTCAAACTCGAGCAAAGAGAAGAGCACCCTGCTCTATCCAACTAGCCTAACTTGCGTCTGCTTAGTTATTTTCATCTTAGTAGTTTTTACCTTGATATAGGCTCATATTACTAATTACTAGAGAAAATTACGGTTGAATTCCAATGTGATTTTGTTAATTTCAGCCAAGTAGGCAACACTTTCAAGTATTTAATCAGAAATTTTCCTTAGATGGAAATTTTAATTAATTCGGGCATGTTTTAGAATATTGATTTGGAATAAATTGTGAACACAAAATCCAGAAAAGTTGAAGATCGACCCTGTCACCAATTGGACTTTTTCAAGTTTTAATTCCGTAATCAGATTTTGTTTCTAATTGGGATTAGTTTGTGTGAAGGAATCTAACACTATTGCTCTAATAATGTGGTCAACTTGTATTTTGTGGATGTAAACATTGATATTTTTTATTTAATATTTCTAATTTTTCCACCAGTTGATTTTCTGCATCCACGTGCTAGTCTTTGTACATTATTTGCTCCCACGTTATACATATTTAAATTTTCCAGATTCCCTTCAGCATTGTGGGTTTATTATTGCGTTGCATTTGGGTTGGAGGCCATTAGGGTTCTTGGTCATTACCAACCGCAGCAATCACACCAACAACCAAAATTTCAAATATTTCCTGCAAAAACATTGGAATATTGGTTACAAGTTAAAACAAAGAAAAAAAATACTGTTAGTGTATTGGATGTTAAATTCTGAAATTACCATTCTCCATGTAATCTATGTTTAAGGACTTTTGTGGTGTCGAGCCTAGAAGAGCATGCTAGTAACTAAGTAGAGCATTGAAGTGACTGGTCGTATGATGGAGGTTGACCTTGTAGAATAGTTCACACACTAAGGCATTTTCTGAGTAATCTGTTATCAACTGGAAATACAACTCTCAAATGGATTATATTTAGCGATTTGAACAAGTTTCTAATGGTTGCTTTGTTATTTTGGTGAAAATGCAGCTATCAGCTTCAAAAGTACAGAAATGGAGGATCATTTGTTCTTCCAGTTGACTCAAATGATAAGGAAACTTGGGGTGACAGTGAACATAGACTTGCTTATGTGTCCGAAACCACTGTAATTTTCAAAGATATCGTTCAAGTCCGAGATGATCAATGGTGGAAAGCACTATCAACTGGTTACATCACTCAGTGGGCTGCAATGTATCCTCAAAATATTGATGCTCTCTTCTATGCTCATTCCGTTGATGAAGTTAAGGCACTTGCACCCCTTCTTGAGAAATTCAGGTCTACCGTTGGCAAGAAAGCTTACATCGCTGTCTCGGGTGGCAACTACTGCGGTTGTGAAGATGCAGCGACTGCTCTCAAGTGGCCTAAGTTGGTCTGTAAAGAGCGAAGGTTTAAGATATTCGATTTGGCTGTGGGAGCTCTTTCGGGAGTATCAAACTCGGAGGTGGTTGTGCTTCAAGGAGTGTATGCTAGCATGAAAGGATTGATCAAAATTCATAACCCAAGTGTGGTGATCACAGTGGCTGACATTAATCCTAATGTGAAGAAAGCATTGAAAATGGCAACAGAGACTAATTTGAATGCCACCACATTGGTTCTTTTACCAAGGCCTTCGATTTCGAAGGTTCTTTGGATGGCTGATCTTAGAACAACAGCATTGCCAAGTAAGTTGAATTGATATCTTCTTACTCCAATTAGGTTATCAAGTATGCTTAAAAATACATCTTTAACTTTCCGTACCCTTTCGTACTTTCTTTTAGCATGCATCTAACCTACCAATTTCTCGAATGCAGATTGGAACCGAATGCGAATATCTATCAACATCATCACCCAAAACAGAGTTCACTCACTTACAAGGCTGCTCAAATCTCTCAGTGATGCCTACTATCTTGGTGATGAGGTACCTATCAGCTTTAACATGGACAGTAAAGTGGATGAGGCAACAATTAGACTAGTAAGTTCCTTTGACTGGCCTCATGGCCCGAAAACCCTCAAAAGACGAATCATCCAAGGAGGGCTTATTCGAGCTGTTAGCGAGAGTTGGTACCCTTCATCTGACGACGATTTTGGTCTGTTACTTGAGGATGATATCGAAGTCTCTCCTTACTACTACCTATGGATCAAATATGCCCTCTTAGCCTACCACTATGACCCCCAAGTGTCCCTCCCAGAGCTCTCCTCAATCTCTCTTTACACCCCTAAGCTGGTTGAAGTGGTGAAAGAAAGGCCTAAGTGGAATCCAACTGAGTTTTTCAAGAACATCCATCCAAACACCCCTTATTTCCATCAGTTACCCTGCAGTTGGGGTGCAGTCTTCTTCCCCAAGCAATGGAGAGAATTCTATGTCTACATGAACATGAGATTCACCGAGGACGCCAAGAAAAACCCAGTTCAAATACCCAAGTCCAGGACTAATGGATGGCAAGCTTCATGGAAAAAGTTCCTCATAGACATGATGTACCTCAGAGGGTACGTCAGTCTCTATCCGAACTTCCCGAACCAGGCAAGCTTTTCGACTAATCATATGGAACCCGGGGCACATATCAGTGCCAAGGACAATGTGGTGAAGCATGACAAGTCAGATTTTGAGGTGCCATTGTTGAAGGAAGACTTTAGGAACTTTTTGCCTGGTGGGAAATTGCCTCCAGCATCAAGGGTGCCATCTTTGAACCTCTTCAACCAACCAGTCTCTCTGAAAGGCCTAAAGGCAGCCGGGGCAAAGTTGGGGCAGGATGTGATTGGATGCAATAATGCCACAGAGATAGTGATGGTTGATCATCAAACAGGTCTGCCATCGAGGTGTGCCAAATTTTAAAATTGAATTGTTGTTAGTTGATTATTCTTTATTTATACACAAAAACAAACGTTTTATGTAATTTCTGTTTTTTTTTTTTTTCTTCTTTTAAGCTTTATGTGAGTGGGGTTGGTGCTGAGAACAATTTGGGTGAGTGGAGGAAAAACAGAATTTTGGCAAGGGAAATTGGGATTGTGTTGCTAATGTTGTAATCCAGCCGAAAATTGGCTTGTATTTGACTTTGTAAGCAAAGGAAAAGATTGTTCAATGAATGTAAACTCTAGGGTTGAGATTTTTTCCTGAAAATCTCAAACCAAGCCAAAAAATTCTTGATTCCATACCGAAAAATTCCCAAACTGTTATACCGAAATTTTCGGGATCCAGACCGAACCTTTTGCTACGGGAATCGGGATTACATATTCAATGGTTCAGAAATCTGGAACCAAACCAGAAAAAAAATATATTTATTTTGGTTGCATGCATGTTGAATGTTGAATTTAAGTAGTTTGATAGTAGACTATATTAGAAATAGAAGTATGAAATTAAGCAGTTTGAAACTTTGGAACATCAATTTGACTTGGTATGAATGAATTGATATTTTAATTGGTATGAAATTTCAAAATTAAAATGAAGTAAAAAACTTAAATTTCAATTGATATGAACTTGAGGAACAAAATTTTAGACCAAAAGCCAAAATCCAATCCGATCCATCCTAAAATACCGAAACATTTCGGAAATTTTGAAAATTGGGAATACATAAATTTTGGTTCGGGATTGGTTTTCAAATTTCCGTCCCGAAAATTTTCGGTTTGGAATCCCATATCGAACCACCCCTAGTAAACTCTGCTCTCAAAATGGAATGTGACACACCCCGACCGAGATCAAGGCATGATGACTGTCACGTGAGGATGACGTAGCCATGTGCATAGTGCGGAAGCGATAAAGATAGCAACTATACGAATAATTAAAGACCAGATTACTAGAGTGCACTATTAAACGAAAGTGATAGGAGTTAGTTACAACAGTGAACACTCCTAATCGGAGCATAAAGTCTAAGTGCAGTCCAGTAGGACAAGTACTAGTTACACAGTACCAGGAATGTCTTAATATTATTCAAATAGGTCAGAACGGCCGACGATCCCGAGCCACCGACAACAAGCTTACTTAAAACCTGGAGGGGCGCAAAACAGAAAACGTGAGTGGGCAAAAACAATTGTTTTACAAAATCATTTCATTTATCAATATACTAACCTCTCTCTGTAAAACATGTATAATTTTCCCAAAATCAAGATATAAGTATAAACAATATATATGAAATCATATCAATTCAATTCATGCTTCACATAATCATATTCATATGTATGCCATGCCAAAATATAATAAAGTAAACAATCCAGGTAAGAGTGATTTCGTAGTAATATGATATGTTAGCCGGAACCCCTGAGGTAGTCTGTACGGCTGAATTCATAGCTCAAAGTTACTCTAGCCGGAGTCACTACAATGACCTATACGGCAACATACTGCACATAAGTCGGAACCACTAAAAAGGGGTATGTACGACAAGATTGGATGTAATATAGTTATGCTCAATTTTACTCTTTCATAATAGTCGGGAGATGAATAAGGTCTGTACGACAAGACTGTGCACTTAAGTTGGATCCAATATGAGCATATAGTTCGGGAGGTGACGTAAATAAACAGGCATGTACATCATATCTCTGGCTAATTCACAATCACCCTAGGTGCAGCTTTATGAGCTCAACATTACTTAATCACATATCACATCATCGATGATTCACACAACCAAACATAACTTACCTGAACTCACCTGTGCCTCCACAACACCACATTTATATATATATATGCAACCATGCAATTCAAAATATAGAAGCATTTGGCATATTATTTCAAAGCATACTTTCTTTAAAAATGCATTTCTGGGAAATATATCAAGTATATAAACATATACTGAAAACAAAAGCCCACTCATTGATATGTCGAAGGGTCGTAGCCCCCGAGTCGCCCCTGGATACGCTCGTCCTTGGGATAAGCTTCACCTATATGCGAATTAACTATAAAAACGTTATTTTTAAAGCACATAGGCAAAACTAGCTAATAACTTCTCATACATTGCTCAAAATAGGTATATGAATATACCACAGTGATCTGCACAACCTCAGGATCATCCCCAAATTTTTAGAAATATTTTTGAACCTCCCACGCGCCGCCACGAGCCGGCGGGTGCACGACAAGACGCGCCACCACGCGCAGGGAATCCTGACGGATTCCCTAACTGTCGTTAGGAATATTCCGTTAAAACCCAACGAAAACTGTCCAACTAACTGACGCCGTGAGAATATTCCGTCAGACTTGACAGAATATTCTTCCATCTCCTACCTCCAGCTTCAGCAACTGTCGCTGACGCTGGAAATTGGGCAAATTTTTCAACTTCTTAATCTAGCTCATTTCTGCACCATTTTTCATGCAATTACCATCAAAATGAATTTTAGGAGGTAGAGAATTGCGTTATCTCTTTCACGCCTCGATTCACGTGAAATTACGTCGGAGAAGTCCTCGAACTCCGGCGACCTCTGCAAAGCTCCGTTTTCGAGCTTCTCGTGGTCCAAATCCTACCAATGATGCACTCCGAGCATCGTGAGGACCTCCTTGAGCTCACTGTGGTCCTAAAATTCACAAAAACTCAAGGGTTTAAAAGTTGATGAATAGTGCCTAAGTCGAAGATCCACTTTCAGGGGTTTTCTGACATCCAAAATCATTCCAATTTATACCAAAACAAGCAAGAGGACTAAGAGATTACCTTTTGAGCCTTAGAACGGCTTGAAACTTCCACGAACTGGTTTGGTGTATTGTACACCCATGACTCTCTTTCAAACTTGGGTTTCTCGAAGGTTTCCTTGTTGAAAATGGGTACCACTCGACTTGTAAGGATCCTAAGAACACACTGGAGACCTCAGAACCTTCGATTCGTGCAGATTTTGGGTTTGTTTGAGTGTGTCCGTACGAGTTCGAAGAGAGAGAGAGTGAACCGAGAAAGAGAGAGAGAGAAGTCCACGGGATAGAGAGAGAGAAGGTATGTGTGTGGTCCAAAAGCCACCAATCAAAACCAACAATTCCCTTACTTCCAATTGGGTCCAAAAACTTAGGGAAAATAATAAATGGGTCCAAATCCAACTTAAATCACACCATACACTTAACATCCAAGGGTAAAATTGTCATTTCACGTCATCGAAAATTAGTTATTCTGGACGAACTGAGAATGTGTCACATTTTCATACTAAGCAGTGGAAGAATAAATTGGTAGCGAACTTGACATTCATGAGAATCAAACTTAAGACTCCTCAATTGCAAGTAAAGAGAAATACTACTATATGGTAATACTGAGTGGCGATATTGATTTCATATAAGTTCCCATGTCTTTTTGAATTAAGGCCCAGTGGAACAGAAACTAGTGTATATTTGACACATAGCCATGTGGTATAACCAATCTACGTGTTATAATATGAGGGAACTTGTAACGCCCCGACCTGAAAATTTTATTTCAGAAAATAATTTCAGTGATAGGCCACAAATTTAACTCTTGCTTAATTTTCTACCATTAATCACAATTCTTTATTTAGATTTCTTAATCACTCACAAAATCTATAACCAAAATTTATTTACCAAAAACATAAGATTTAATTTTTGAATAATTCACCAAAGTTTCATTTCTTCAATCAAATTCCCAACAAAAGATTAACCTCAAATATTTAAGGCTGCATCTAACCCTTATTAGACTACCTACGCACCCTTGATGTGGGATCAAGCCATTCGTAGTTCATCGTTCATTTTCATTCCATTTCCAAAGACATTCAAGTAACCAAAATAACCAACATTGGGTTTAATAATCAAAACACATCAATTGGATACCAAATTCATATTTAGAATATCAAAATTTGCACAAAATGGTAGCATCGGCCCATTGGCCAAATGTCGCCGTGGGTGGCGGTGGGTCGCCCCGACTTGCCGAAAATTTTAACTATTTCCAAATTTCATAGAAATGAAGATCTCAATGAGTATAGCAAATTTTATACATGCGGTCAAGTTCAATTTGGTCAGGAAAAGCCTAATTCCTCTCAAACTCGCCGGAAACCCTAGAAATGGGTGGCTTCAAGTCACCTCCGGTGCTCCGCGGACCCTATAATTGTTTGGGCTTTGTTCTTGGCCTCAAGAGGATGTTATAGGTGGTGGTGATCGAAGGAAATTGTTTCAAAAATGGGAAGATCAACGGCAAGAACCCCCGCACCAACCGGTTAGGTTTTTTTTCAGAATTCAAAACTGACGAAAAACCATCGGAATTGGTTGTGGAAACCAGGTTGGGTCTTGGGTCGAAAGGGGGTCCGAGTTCCCCTATTCCCCATTTCTCTCATTTCCCCTCCTTTCTTCCCCTTCTGATTGGTCTATCTGCCTCCCTTTTCTCTCCTTTCTTTTCCATCACAGCCATTCATCTAATCTTTTTTTCTTCTATTCCTTTCATCCCAACCACACACGTGGCACAGCTTATTTCTCCAGATTTTCTGGAGTCTTCCAAATTAATGGTAAAATGCCTATTTTTCCATCCACTTCAATCGTTAAGAATTTCTTCGTTATAACTTCATTTCACGAACGGTTTCCGCCTACATGCTTGTGGGATCTTCTTCTATCCAATTATGTCAAGAAATACAACGAAACATATAAGGATTAAAATACATCTCCGTATAACTTTGTTTGGTCAACTAAGGCATTTTCATCTAAATTTTTACGATGTAAATTATAATAATTTTAAGAAACAAATTTTTTTACATATTCGCAATTCAATTTTCATAAGTATAAATCGATTTATTTTCGATTTCCTCCACATATTCATAATTATGAATATCTAATTCATATATTTAAATTTTCAGGGCATTATAGAACTAATTGGTGCTTTGGGCTATAGTAATATAATCCATCAACATGTTCAAACAATGGTGAACTAGTTACCGCATGATGGAATTTCGATACTACACAATAATTTCTCACAGTCAAGAAGTTCATACAAAAATGACCTTGACAAACCCTATAGCCAACCTCAATAAATAAAATAAAATAAAAAAGCCTAAAAGAAAGATCAACACTACAATCTAAAATATTCCTCTCTACTTGTTAGCAAATTATGTTTTAGTTAAGGAAAATGTTAGGAATACCGCAACGGCAAAGCCAAGAATTGTCGAGAGGATGAGTGAAACTTAACCATTGAAACGATGCCGCTTGTCTTGT